GTTATAACAATAGCTGTACGATAACATATATCTTTGAGAGCTATCTCTTACCATTCCTGCCCAGATTTCTTTGGTAATATGTCCTACGAAGATTTTCATGCCAGTGATCTGTTTATGTTTCCCTTAACCAGGCAAGCTATTTGGTTATGTTTATTTACATTTCGGTCACACTTGGAGATGCGCCGCAGTTCTCTACTTTTTACATTTCATCAAAGGTACGTGCGTCTTGATCTTCCTCTCAAGTTCGTTGTTCCTCTATAGGCATTTCAGTTGTATTCAATCACGTGAGTATTCTTTTAGAGTTTGGAGAAGCAAAGTATTGAATAATGGGAATCTTATGATATGCTAGGAATTACTTATGCTCGCCGTTTCCAACTGAAATGATCTTAATGCCTATAACTTTGTCAGGGTGATCTTTTCAGAACTATTGATTTTTCTTTTTTTTTCCTAATCCGTCTACCATGAGTGTATATGATTTTTGAAGCTAAATATTCACATTCAACTATCTAGGACTGGGAATACGAAAGTATTGTGGATGTACGATTATATTACACAGCTTACTTATCAATATCATGACTTCTAGGTCTTGCTCGGTCTTTCGGGGGTTGTGCTTGTCTTGCTTTCTGTACTTGGATCTGTTGGAGTTTTCAGTGCCCTTGGAGTTAAATCCACATTGATCATAATGGAAGTCATTCCTTTCCTAGTCCTGGCTGTAAGTTCGATTTCAGTCTGTGTAGTAGGAACAGTGGAAATTTGGTATATTTGTTGATGAATATACTAATGGTTTTTTATAAGTGAACAGGTGGGAGTAGATAATATGTGCATACTGGTTCATGCTGTAAAGAGACAACCTCGTGATGTGTCTTTAGAGCAAAGAATTAGCTCTGCACTTGTTGAAGTAGGTCCATCCATAACATTGGCAAGTTTATCCGAGGTCTTGGCTTTTGCTGTTGGAGCTTTTGTTCCAATGCCAGCATGTCGTATCTTCTCCATGTTTGCAGGTTTGTAAATATTTAGTGCTCTCTGTGTACATTAGTTGCGAGTCTGTGACACTGTTTTTTAACTTGTGCAGCTTTGGCTATTATGCTGGACTTCTTTCTGCAAATCACCGCTTTTGTTGCGCTAATAGTTTTTGACTGCAAAAGATCTGCGGATAACAGGATTGATTGTTTCCCTTGCATAAAAGTTCCTTCATCATCTCAAGAATCTGTTGAAGGTTATTACTTACTACCAGAAAGGTTTAGAATTAGTGTCTTTTTTAACTGTATCATTTCCTTCAACTTAGGCAGGGTTTTGTGCGTTTACAGGTGGAAGAGGACCTGGGTTTCTTGAGAGATACATGAAGGTGTTTTGATTTTCTCAAAACTGGGACAACCTCTCTTTCTTATTAATAGACATATGATATGTGCAAAATACAGACAGACACACACAAACATGTAATTACAGTCCGCAATCTTGTTGATTTTTAGTCTTGGTGTTCCACAGGAGGTTCATGCACCCGTTCTTGGACTTTGGGTTGTAAAAATGGTTGTTGTCGCTGTATTCTTGGCTTTTGCGCTGGCAAGCATTGTAAGTTCTGACTTCATTTTGCTCATTGCTTTGTTTTCACTGTTATATACTATTTGTTTTTGCGCTTTAACACTTCTTTAGCACTACAATATAACTATATCATCAAAAAGAAATCAGAATATGGAGTGAATTATATCAATTGTTTTTGTAATTACGATTCCTGTGTTTTTATTCATTAAGGCCATCAGCCCAAGGCTTGAAACTGGCTTGGAGCAGAAAATTGTGCTTCCTCGAGACTCCTACCTTCAAGTTTAGTGTGTTGCATTTTTGACTTCTCCTTCACGTTGTTCTCCTTGTGTTCATCTCTTGCTCATTCCCCCAATCACGATTGGAATTTTATTTGACAGGACTATTTTGACAGTCTCTCAGAGTACCTCAGAGTGGGGCCCCCTTTGTATTTTGTAGTCAAGAATTACAATTATAGGTTCTCTATCTGTCTGATACACACACAGAAAAGCACTATCTCTGGTACAATTTATTACCTAGCAGTTTTCCTGCACTGACATGGATTCTTTTGGCAGCTTGGAATCAAGGCAAACAAATCAGTTGTGCTCTATCAGCCAATGCAATTCGAATTCCCTTTTAAATGAGGTAATAATAATGAATGTATAGCGGAGATGCTCCTGTCTGAAATGATTTTATTTTAGTCAGCAACTGGTGTGATTTATCCTACTAAAATCATCATATGAATTCTTATAAGTTTAATGTATCTTCGGTAAAGCTCCAACCAAAAGGGTTTTGTCCTTAACATTCTTTGTTTTCCCCACCTTCCACCAGATATCAAGAGCGTCACAGGCTCCAGATACAAGTTACATTGCCAAACCAGCTGCTTCTTGGCTCGATGACTTTCTTGTATGGCTATCACCAGAGGCTTTTGGCTGTTGTCGGAAGTTCACTAATGGCAGTTATTGTCCTCCAGACGACCAGGTCAGTCTTATCTTATAGAGATTATTGTGGAAACTACTTTGTGTTTTCAGTTTCGTTTTCGCTTTAACAGATTTAGTTCTCTCTTAACCGCAAAAGATATGATAATGGTTCATAAGCTAATTTATTGCCTTTAATCAAAAATCAGCTGATTAAAAATGCAAACTGGTGTTTTAGTTTCTAACTTAAAGTGTCAAGTTACAGCCACCTTGCTGCACGGCTGAGGAAGATATATGCAGTTTAGATGGGATCTGTAAAGACTGTACTACAGTAAGTGTCTCTCTCTTTCTTTCTCAACAATATTTAGAATAGATCTAAGTCTATAAACCATCGCAGTGCTTTCGACACTCAGATTTGGTTCAGGATCGTCCATCTACAGCTCAATTCAGGGAGAAACTACCGTGGTTTCTAAATGCTTTGCCATCAGCTGACTGTGCAAAGGGTGGTCACGGGGCTTATACGAATAGCGTGGATTTAAAAGGTACTCTAGAATTTCCTTGATAAGAAAATCTATTTGCACTACCTCATTTCTTTAATTTGCTTTTGGTCTGAACCTTTTCTTGGACGCTTGGTTTTTTCTTTCAGGGTATGAGAGTGGTGTTATACAGGCATCTGAGTTCCGTACATACCACACTCCACTTAACACACAAGTATGACATTATTGTTTCTGGCAAGCGAATTATATAAAAAAAAACTCACAACTGAAAAAAATTCCTCAGGGTGACTATGTTAATGCATTGCGAGCTGCTCGGGAGTTCAGTTCAAGAATATCCAATTCCTTGAAGGTTTGAACCTGGTGATGAATTCTGCTTTAAGGAAGTATAGATTAGCTGGCTTTGTTTGAAGGAGGATGGTCCGCCATATGTCTTTTTTGTTCTGCTCAGCTTCCTATATAATAACCCTTGTTTTTCTGTCATGCAGATTGACATCTTTCCATATTCTGTCTTCTACATTTTCTTTGAGCAATATCTGAATATCTGGACTGTAGCTTTGACAAACCTCGCTATAGCAATCGGTTTGCTTCCCATCTATCAAATTTTGAGTTTTTGCTAGAGATTTTACCAAAAGACAACTCTTTACATTCTTATATTGGTTTGGTAGGTGCTATATTTATTGTTTGCTGGTTAATCACTTCCAGGTCAGTTATCTCTCTATAGATTATGCAAAATTTTAGAATCTGGAGATGTCTTGATGTTGGTTTCTTTTATTAACTTGTCAATTTCAGTGCCTGGAGTTCAGCCATCATTTTCCTTGTATTAGTAATGATACTCGTGGATCTCATGGTACTATGTTATATTGACAAAGTCTATAGAATATTGTCCCGATTTGCGCTTTGGTTCATGCCGTTCTGGATGTTTTAAGTTGTACTTAAGGATAATCATCCTTGATGTGTTTGAGCAGGGTATGATGGTGATTCTAGGCATCCAACTCAATGCAGTTTCTGTTGTGAATTTGATAATGTCAATCGGGATTGCTGTAGAATTCTGCGTGCACATATCACATGCTTTCCTGGTAAGAACAAGCCACACCCCCCCCCCCCCCCCATGTTTCCTTTGGACCTTGGGTGGATCTGTTCTGAAAAATAATGTTTATTTCCTGCACTGCTTCAAATGCAGATGAGTAGTGGGAATAGAGAACAGAGAGCGACGGAGGCACTGGAAACCATGGGAGCTTCAGTTTTCAGGTGATGAAACTTGCGATCACTTGCTAGTTGCTACACTTTTAATTTTCTAACTGGTTAAGTGGTCATATTTGTGGGACTTGATAATGAAAATATGTTGTTGGGGACAGTGGGATCACACTCACAAAACTTGTTGGAGTGATCGTGCTTTGCTTTGCAAGATCTGAGATATTTGTGGTAAGGACACCCAAATCCAATGCCTTGAGTAGTTCTTGGTCCTCTTGCTTGAGTTGATTCAAATGGATATGTATTGGTGCATACAGGTGTATTACTTCCAAATGTACTTGGCTTTGGTTATAATCGGCTTCTTGCATGGGCTCGTTTTCTTGCCTGTAAGTTAAGCTGGATTTATCTGCTACCATCTACTTGTATGACAGTAAGCATCTAATGGGTGATTGATTAGGCACTTATTGTGGGTTACAGGTCATACTGAGTTTAGCTGGCCCGCCGCAGCTACACTTGGACATCGAGCAGCAGCAGACAGAAGAGGCTTCCTCTTCCCTATTGAACTGAGTAACTCCACAGACTCTCTTACTTGTTAACTCAACCTTTACATTACTCCTTTCATTCAAATGTATCACATAATGTCAAAAACTAAAGAGTCAAATAGTGGATATCCTTTGTATCAAAGTTAAGTGATAGGCCCATGGCCCAAAGTATGGCATGTTGGTACACTTTCCTAACTCGAGTAGGTCAAAGAAAAACATGAAGAATTAAAGAGTTTGGAGCTAAAGCCTATCTGCTTAAAGAACAAAAAACAGAAAATAAACTGAAGATGCAATGCAACTGTAGGTTATTATAGAAAATGTTTCTCACAAAATCATAATAGCTTCAAAGAAAGCTAGTATCTTATATAGTATTTGAAGGGGGGAAAAGGGACCACAAGAATTCAACAACTTATGAATACTTTTAGATCAAACAAAGTATGTTGCATATGTAAAAAAGATATACAAACCAAGCCAAAATAAATAGATTGGTGACGATGATGGAATTAGCCAAAAGGGTTTAGGATTTTTAGTTAAGAACCAAAGGAAGGAAGAGAAAGAGGACGGTGAACCAATATTCTGATAGTTTCTTTAAGAGAGGACTTGTAGACTTGTATGCACTCCTCAAGATCAGCATCGCACGTCAAGAGAACCCATTCTTGATCATCGTCTAGATACTTGAGACTGAAGTTACTTGTCAAAACATCGTCCATCCCAAACCGCTTTGCGATCTCTCTTCTGAGGTCTGTGAGACGTGAGTGGGGCTGCAGGCTCATCCTCAGCATCGAATCTCCAAACATAGCTTTCACTTTCATCCCGTCTTTTGCTTTCCTTGGAGCTGTTGAGGATGGCAATGGGGGTAGGGATGAGGTTACACGAACTGCCCTCTGGTCCTCGTGCAGGCTGCTTAGAGTAAGCAGCTGTGGATGACTGAGAGATGGGTTTTCGAAGCCACCAAGTTGTTGCTCTTCGGAGGAGCAACAAGTGCTTGAACCTGAAGAGCCCTGGCTGCCAGATGACGAAGGTGGTGACTTTGGAGGCACATGGACAGTTTGGGTTGGATTAATCAAAGGAAAAGAAGAAGAAGAAGAAGATTGAAGTTGAGGGAAGCTTGAGTAGAAGGAGGCGAGATGGAGAGAGCCTTGAACTCCTTCAACAGAGTCCATCACCACCTGCAGTTTCCGAAGAGAATGTCCTACTTTCTTGATCTTCCTCGATGGCCACCTTGAGATTCCGTGTTGTCTGCAGACCCTCTTCAAGGTTGTGGGACATACTGAAAATATGTAATGCCATCATCATCATCATCATCATCATAATATGTAATTATCTATTCAAATATATAAAACTCTGACGCACCACCAATGTTTTTAGCGGCGTCCTTAAGGCTGCCAGCAAAGTGTTGTCGGAGAGTGTCCAAAGTGATATCCTTTTCAGCCTTTGTCTTGCGTTTTCGGTTCTCCAGAGAGGAAGAAGAAGAAAAGGAAAACGACACTTGTTTGCCCTTGGGATCCTCTTGTGTCAGGGGTGGTGTGGCTGCGTCTCTCACTTGTTGTGCAATTTGGTTGTCGTCTACCATCAGATGTGGTGAGCTCTGGAAGCGTAGGTTGAGTTGGGAGGCGAGGGTCAGGCTCTGAGTTTGGATGTCAAGACAGTCTCTCGGGAAGAAGAGCTCGACAACAAATTGGACAGTGCGGTTGCCTCTGGTCAGGATAGGGACGGCAAGAGCAGCGTGGAGATGGAACATCCTGGCGTAGTGGGAGAGAGGGTAGCTCCACTTGCTGAAGATGGCCACATCTGTTGCGAAACACTGTTTCTTGGTAGCGAAAGCTCTTCCAGCGATTCCTTCGCCCACGAGTAGATGGTGCTCAGAGCAGGCGGCCAGGAAGCAGCGGCTGTCTTGGTCAGCGGCGTAAGAGGCGGAGATCAGAGCCGAAAGGCAGGATGAGGAGTCTTGGTGAGCCCACGTGACGGCTAGAGGGAGTCGGTGTGAACTGCAGATGCCTTGGAGAATAGAGGCCACCTCTGTTCTTGATGAAGAAGAAGAAGAAGTGACCTTGAGAGAGGCTGGAACGATGGAGGCTTGAGAAGTCCGGAGATCAAAGGCCTGCCAGAGAGAAATTCCGATTGTGAGTAATATATCTAGTGCTTATATAAAGTAACGGTTGTTAACCATTGAAGCTCTTCAAAGGTTGCTTACGTCAACACAAAAATAATTAATGCAAAGACATGGGAGCGAGTCAATGCTGAGCAGTGTTCCAACAGTGCAGTGACAAGTATTTATATTTTTTACATGGGAATTATAAAGACTCAATCAGCTAGACTTGACTTTATTCATCAACTTTTTAATCTTACATACGTATTAATAATAATTCATCAGCAAACAATCAGAGTTATTAGGTTAGATTCAAAAATGACCTCAAGGGTGTGGCAGATGGTGTGGAGCTGGGAGGCATACTCCAAGTTGCGGTGAGTGGTGACCATTTCCATCACGGCCACGCAGTTCCCGGATGTCCCTTGGAAGAGTGGGAGAGCGAGGGAGGCTCGAACCTGGTACCTACGGGCGTATCTTATGCGAGGGTACTCCTCCCTCCTGAAAAACCGAACGTCTGGGGTCCACTCAGGCATCCTCCTCAGGAACACACGCCCAGGCAGCCCCACCAGCTGCTCCGACCCAACCTCTGCTGCGAAGCTGTAGCCAGTTGAGGCGTCTCTGTAGAGGCCCAGGCTCTGGCTCTGGGAGAAGGTGTTGATAGAGTAAGGCTGCTCCTCCGTGCTCAGCACTCGTCCGCTCCTTGTCTCAACAGGCACCCACAGCTGGATCAGCAACTCCCTCTCTCCCATCACCTCTTGCAGGTGCCCCATGGCGCAAGCCACCCTCTCCTTCAACCCTGATGATAATGCCTGGTCATTCTGCGTTGCCTCTTCTTCCCAGCTGCACTCCTCCCACAAGAGTTGGTCCATAAAGTTGTCAGGGAAATCCACAACGGCCGAGTTGTTGCTTTCTTCCATGAGCACAGGAGAGAAAGAGAAAAGGGAAACTGATCAGACAAATAGAGAAAGAAGAAGATACCCTCCTAGAAAGTAATTATGAGGCAGATTTGGCTAAAAGAGATGATGCAAGCATGTGGTTTGATAGGCTCTCCTTCCTTAGTTGTTCAATATCAAACGCCAACGACTCCCTTTTAAATATTATGTCAAACAAAAGAGCTGCCAAAATGGGATAAGTCAGAAGCTAAAATAAAAAACCCAATTGCCCACAAGGTCATACCCCTAGCTTGTTTATTTTATAAATGTTTTGATGGATTTTGAGCCGACCTCATCTGAATCTTACTAATCCATATATTCATCCAGTTACAAATATTATATATAACAAGAATAGTATGTATATACACTCAAAAATGTAATCAAAAGAGAGAATATGTAAATGTGTAAGAGGGGATAATCCTTGTTTTCTTGAAGAATCATCAACAACAACAACTGGATCCAAAGAAGATGAAGATGGAGGGAATCTTTGGTTGTGAGCGTGCAGAATCTTTTTAAAAGGTCCCACCATAAACTGTCACATATATAGATAAAGATTTTTGGTTATATAAAATTTGAATGGTTAAATACTAAGTTTCCTGAATCTCCGAGGGTTGGGTGCATGGTCCAATGCACCAGGCAAATCCAAGTGTGCCTCTGTTATTGATTGTATCAGAAGCACTCGAGTCTATGTACTTACTTTTCATTTTTTTTTTTCTTTTCTAATTAGGTTAAAGGGAGCAAAAGCTAGGGTTTCACGATAATAATTTAATAAATACATATATACCCAGTACTCATGCACTAAATTAATCAAGGTGATTCCATGAAAGATTCCAAAAGGGACACATTGTCATAATGGAATAAGCATGCATCCCCTCCTTATTTTACTTCACTTCTCAACTTTCACACACTCTTTTGGACAATACCCATTCCCCTTTCTACTATTTACATATATATATTTACTATATATAGAGAAAAACAACTTGTTAAAGATAAATATTCAATATTTAACTTTGTTTTAAAAAAAAAATCTTAATCAATGGGTATAATAAGCTGGTCAAGAGTAACCAAAAACGTGTGGTTGAAATTTTATATGCTTCTTTTTTTCGTATTATTTTTGTGTGTCTTTAACCCGTCTTAACTACTTGTTTAATTACATATCATAATACAAAAAAATTGCATCATTATTGTTGTTTCGGGAAAGTGGAAACACAAATAATTGTAAAAGAAATCATCGTCGTCTTAACATGATGACCTTTCAAATATGATCATATATACGATTATTTTGCCGTTCTATGTTCTAAAACTGAAATAAAGAGTTTAGAATTGTTTTAAAAGAAGCCAATGAAAGAAAGGCAGATGGTAAACTAAAAGAAAAGAGGTACTGTAGAAAAAAAAAAAAAAAAAAGAGAGAGGTCACTTAGTGTGCGTTATCAGTAGGCCTGGGCAAAATACCCGGAACCGAATACCCGAACCGAAAAACCCGAACAATACCCGAACCGAACCCGAACCCGATTTTTAAAAATATCCGAATGGGTCCTAACCTCCTACCCGAAAAAAACCCGAACCGAACCCGAACCGAATCCAATACCCGAATGTACCCGAATATACCCGAATACAAATATACACCTAAAAATGTTAGTTATTTTTATATTTATAATACCCGAAATACCTAAAATTACAATCATAAATCCGAATATATTAGGTATTTTAGATATTTTTGGTTATATTTGGGTAAAGAGTAACCAATGTATTTTCGAGAAATTGGGTATTTCGGTTATATTTGGGTATATATGAGTTAAAAACCCGAACCCGACCCGAACCCGAAAATATTCCGGGTATTTTTGATTATTTTCGGGTATTTTGCTTTTTTATTAAAATACCCGAACCGACCCGAACCCGAACCGAACCCGAACCGAATTTTTAGAATACCCGAATGGGTCTTGACCCCCTATCCGAATAGACCCGATACCCGAAAAAAAAGAACCGAACCCGAACGGGTACCCGAATGCCCAGGCCTAGTTATCAGAATGAAATAACTAGTGTGATGACTCTTGAGGATTACGGGAAGCCAAAGCCCCTCCATGCCAAGCTTTCTCATCGATTCTCCGCATCCTCACAAATAATGCTTCAGCAGCATCATCAACCTCAATCATATACTATATACTAGTACGTGTTAATTATCATAATTAATGTTAGAAGATTAGTAGCAAAAATGTTGCCTTTGTAGGAGACATGACCCACACTTCTTTATTTTCGATTCCAAAAACTTCCTATAATTTACTTGCTTACTTATCTTTCTTCTCTCTTTTCAAATTTACTGGATTCCCAACTGCAGATTCTAAATAAACATTATTTTTCTCAATAAATTTAATAAAAGATTCTTCTAAAGAGGTGCCGCCAGCCTACTTGCAGTATACCTATATGTTTCCATAATTAAGAACAGGATTAATTAGTTAATGCTTTTGATTTATAAAGGGAATCTAAAATGGGATTTTAACTCCCTTCTGATAAAGAGACTTTGTTAAAAGTACTTATCCTAAATGAAATGTTAGTCTGAGGAAAGTGAATATGATCTCCATTAAGAGCATGCTAGGGTATAAAAGGATAGAGACGAGAAGTTCAGTAGTTGATTTTAGAGGGTTACTAATTCTATATCCAATTCTTCCTTCTTTTTTTTTTTTTTTGTTGACAATCTCGTTTACGTGCCTTGCACAAAAGCAGAGTTCTCTCAAACCAAATTAATTAACAACTATATTAATTAAGTACTAGTACTAGTATTTTCATATAGTTGCATTAATTAAGGGGTGCGTTGATGAGATCAATGATGGATCTGTCCGAATCTTTCTCCATATGACATCAGCAACCTGTCAGAATCTCTCTCATTATTAATTACTAGCTACATATGATTGTTCTTTTAATAAGGAATCTCTTAATAAACAAAACAACATATATCGGATTTACTTGTGAAGATCTATAAATAAATAATGCGTCATAAAAATCGTATCACACATCTATATGAGATATGTGCATCCATTAATCATATATTTATACACAGACTTAACCACAATCCTAATTTGAAATTACGTTGGGATAAGTCTTTTAACAAGAAGGGAACTAATCATTAATTTTTTTAAAAAAAATTGTACAGCAAGTTTAGTAGTATAACTAAAATAAATAAATAAGAAAGTGTGTAGAAATAATAAAGAAAATGGATGACATCATGAAGCTCTTTAATAATTAAACGGAAACAGCTGAAGTCAACAACCTAATAATAATAATCTTCCACGCATACTTGTTTTTTTTTTTTGGTGGTTATGTAATAGTAATACTGTATCGCATAATTAAACATCCAACAATGCTCCTCTCTTACAGACCAGAAATGTCAAAAGCCTCTCTATAATTTTTGTAGCAATTTAAAAAATGTCATCTCTTCATATCATATTTATATACTACTATTAAAAAAGGGATAAAATGCAATGGACATGGTAGTATTATTAGTACACAACACAGGTGTAAAATAGTAGATACACATTGCTGCAATGGGATCTTAAGCGCAAGTGACGTTGCAGACAGTTGTTTCTCAGGAGTTTAACAAGAAAGGAATCTAATCTATTGAAATCTCCTATCTCGTGGGAGCATCTCTCCAATATTTATTTATTGTAGTATATGCTTGTACATTTCCAGATTATGATTTCTTCTTAGGGTTGAACAAAAGATGGATACCTGTTTTCTCTTCAAGGCATCACAACTACAACCACTGCTGTAACAAACATGCCTTGAATAATGCTCATTATTATGAACCGCCCTTTGTCCGCATCCACCACATGTGTTCTGAAAATAGACACCAAGATGATTATACTGATGATCAGTCTTCTAACAGACACCAAGATGATTCAAGACATCATTCTGATGCTACTAAACAACACTTACGCTGCCCATTATTCTCTTTCCCTTCACTATTCTCCGTCATTTGATGTAGATTTTAGACTATTGACAGACCTTCCTAACACGTTCAAAGCTGATACACGCTGCATCTCTCTCGCTGCACGAGGCAACACATTATTTCTCTAGCAAATACTTGATTCCAGATGGGGTTCCTAGCTAAACCGCTACAAACCTAAAAGCCTGGACCAGAATGAGTAGAGGAGAGTACCTTCCTCGAGAGAGAATTGAATAGACCTCTTTTCCAAGTCAACAGCATGCTTGCTAAGCTCGGCGGAGGAAAGTGACCAAAGCACTAATAACAGTGGAAACATATATAAAAGCATCAAGGTCCAGAATTAAGAGTGAATATACATATTTAAGGTGGTGGGAGGAGCTTACTCTGAACATGATCGGTCCGATCAGATTGATTAAGCTTATTAAGAAGCATTTGAAGATGAAGGTAACGCTCTTCCCAGTCTAACTTATGGCTGGTAGTAGTTGTTTCCTGTGCCTGTGGCTGTGGGGGAACCTTAGGCGGGTTCGGGTTAGTGCTCGCAGCTGCTTTGGATGTGTCAACCTCCACTCTCCTGCGCACATAAACAAGTCGACCGCTTGCAGCATTAGTGGTCGGAGACTCCACCTTTACCCCAATGGACTTTGAATCTTGTTGGATGGGGTTTTTTGGTGGAGTCCTTGTCCCGCCGCCGCCATGGGGCTCCATTTCAAGAAACTCTTCTGCGATTAAGGAGGAGAAACTAAGAGGAAGCTTATATATAACAAGGTAAAGAGAGGATATTGAATTTCTTCTGCAATGCTTCAACATCAAACGAGGACTGAGGATTGGTATTATTGGAATCTGATCAATGAAGAATCTATCCGGAAGCAAAAGGATTTACCTGGAGGATGGAGATGGATCAGAGAGGATACGAGCAGAGCAGAGCAGCTCCGCTCCGAGAGATGGCGTTTTTTCCCTCATCTCGGAGTCTGTCTACTAGAGAGGAGAGGAAGGCAATGATGGATGGGCCAATTTAAGGCCCATTTTGTGCATCTACGGCCCATGTTTTTCACGTTGATCCCCAAAAACATAAAGAAAAAATAAGAGATTGAGAAAGTAATAAGAGATTCTACGTATTTATCACTCATGTCTCATTTGTCTGTTGATTCCTAACTAGTATACTGAAAACAATTTTTACTTATTTAGTTTCCTCTTGACTGCTTCATCTACCTCCACAATCTCTTCATTCATTGATGTCGCACCGACGGAGATAAGGGTTGTCATACTCAACGTACTTGGACCAGTACGGTTTGTACTTGGCGAATGCCAAACCCAGCCATGGCTTGTAGTTCCCATTGTAATGCACAACCGCCGCATTCTCTATTGCTGTTTGGTTTAGCGCTGGGTCATATCCCAGCCCCAGCACGTGCCAGCTCCTCTCCATTGCATATGTCAGGTTGTAAAATGTTATCAGCCCCGGTGGCAACGACCCCAGCTTCCACAGTGTTCTGTCTTCATTCTGAAATCATTTATATTTCATAGACACATCCATTCATCATTTATCACAGGACACCAAAAACAAATTTTTATGTACTTCTTATGAGAAAATTCCAATGCCTTACCATGTCTTGCCAATAGTGATATATCCCCGTAATGTTCCGTTTCCTCCACTCTTTCAGGTCAAACATATTCATCCCAAATGCCCACCCACAAGCACTCGCCTCGAAATTCTCTGAGATCTTTGGATTTGAGAAGTTGAGGTACTTGTCAAATCTGTGGAAGCTCTCCTTGCACGTCTCCACCGCACCATTCACTTTTCCTTGCATGTCTATTTCCCATAGTGGTGCCAGGTCCTTTTGCACCACAATGTCATCGTCCAGAAACAGGATCTTCTCCAGCTTCGGATAAACCTCAGGAAGGTAGAATCTGAGATGATTCAGCATCGACAGATACTTTGGGTTGCGGTACTTTAGATTGTCCGCGCCAGCAGAGATTGATGAAGGATGATTTGCTTTGAAATAGTATTCTTTCAGCCTCGCAGATTCAAGCTGCCGTAGAACAGAGCAGTAAGAGGAATTCAGCCACTTGAAATCATTGATGTTTTCAACTTGAATTGTCGCATCAGCAGGAGCACTGATGCGAAACCACATCTTCATTGCAGCAAAATTCAATTTGTCAGTTACTATATGGAACACATGCTTCTGCGGTTCCTTTGCATTCAAGACAGTGGAGTTCACAACCACTGATGTAGCCAGAACGTTATCTGAAAATATCGCATAGTGATAGAGAGAAGGATCTTCAAACTTCTTTCGACTGGCATCCTCTTTCACTGCATCCTGTTCATTGAAACCTAGAATAAAATAGTCTGCCGCTAGCTGCAGACTCAGGCAATGCAATGGCTTGGGAAATGTTTTGGCAGCTAGCTGAATTAAGAAGGTTCCCTTTTTCTTCAGTCCATCTACTTTGCGTTCAGTGGACTGAAGCATGGCCCGGAACTTTTTTGCAAGTTCATGGCAGTCATATAACTCGTCTTTTGCAAGAGAGAGAGCATGGCCCATGGCTTTTGCTTGATCAAGAGCGCTAGCAAAGAAAATGGGATGGAAAAATTTTCAACAAAGATTGTTGTCTCACTAATCCATTGCTGACAAGAGGAATGTAAAAAAGTACCTTGAAGGAAGGTCGGCATCAGAGGTTGCTTTACCTATAACACGTTGATTTTCTCCACACTGCTGCATCAAGAAAACGTACAGATTGGTTACATTTTGAGATTTGGCAATATTTGCATATGCTTTTGCCATTATGATCTGGTCTCTCATAAGCTTCAAGATAGCATCAGCATTTGGGCTCTCATAGTCTCTCCTCCATATACTGTATTTTCCTATGACTGAGTTTTCAAAGCTCATTGACTTCTCAATGGCTGCTTCTTGCATTTGCTCATCAGTTTCCTTTTCTTGTTGGATCAGCTCTAAAGTTCGTTGACCTCTCCTCTCCTGACGTAAAATCTGAAAGGGTCTACAGGTGTTACAATCTCAGCCATATAGTGTTAAGGCATACAGAGATTAGAAAATAATCACCTGCCGCTTCAGTTTTGCTGGGTTTGCAAATTCCACGTTTGGAAACTGATTTTCGCTTTCATCAGTCTGATTAGTTGTAGAACGGCTTGCATTATCTTCGATTCCAGTATCATTTTGAAATGAATCCCGTGGTATAACTAGCTAATTCCATAAAAAAATGTCAGCAACTAGAGAACAAAGAATATGAGCAAGCTTAAGGATAAATCCAAGGAAATGAAAAGAAACTTGAATTTTTCTGCCTAGCATCTGCGAGGAATCTCATAAACAAATCAACCCATGGTTAGAACAAATGAAGTTCATGAGAGGTATTTTTTGCTCTGCCAGAAGAGTGGTCAGTAATCACTTCACATACATTAAGTTTTCTCCTATAGAGCTCCATGTCCATAGGAAGGATATACAGTTCTGTTCTTAAACTGATGATCAAATCTTACTAAAACTAAGGGTACCAGTCTTTAACAGACATTAAATGTTTGGTACCTGCGGACCTTTTTTTCTGCCGCTAACTTGATAGGCAGGATTCTCGAAAACCCAAGAAGTTGAAAGATCCCCCATTTTCACCCTACCAAACCGTATATTACCGTAATGGTCACTGTATGTGGCAACTATGTTCACATCCTGAGATAACAGCTTTATTACAAGTAGGAAGGCATAAAAATTGTATTCAGTCAGTACTCAGAGAAAGAAGACCGCAGCCTTACTTTCAGATCTGGATCATAGTGCACTGCAGCAGCTGAGGAAGCATACACCTCCTAAAGGCAAAATTGGATAACAAAAATCCAAAAGTTAATCACAAGCTACAGATCCCCCAAATAATTAGCAAGCAAAGTCTGATATTTGAAGCAAATAAGTTATTGGGAGAAGAAGAGGAGGACGAGAGAGACCTCTAGATTATTATCTTGCAGCGGACGATAAGCTTTAAGTTCTCTGTGGCTGCACCAAGGAAGCATCATGGCAAAAAAAAAAGTATCAACAAAAATATAGAAAGAGTGTAGCCAAAAGACGAGCTTCAAGGAAATGTATCATCATTACGGTGCTTGTGACTCTAAAATGGCTCCACCGACATGAACAGCATGTAGCACCACTACCTGCAAATCCAAAATTTCAGGCACAATTTGATCAGATGATCCGTTTTAAAGAGTAGCGCGAATTCCAGGAGGAGCTAAGAGAGATAATCATATCGAACGGAGAGAGAAAAATCAAGCTAGAGAAGCAGATACCAGCGATAAGAAGGCGGCGCTTCTCGAGAACGTCGTCATCTGGATCTGACTGATATCACCACATCGCCGGCGAGCTTTCTTTAAAGCAGCAATTCAGTCGGGCGGTTTGTAGAAACGTGCACGTGCTGCCGTTTCGTAGTAAGAAAAACCACACGCAGTTGTTTTTTAAGTAGAAGACGGAAAAGAAAGAAAAAAACACAGAGACGACTTTTATTAGATGGCTCGTTCGTGGTTCGTTGGAGGAGAAGAGAATGTGCATAGCAGTGTTTCTGTGGCAATCGCATCCGCTTTACCCTTTTCTTCTATTTCTCAACAGAGATGAATATCACAACAGGTGATTGAATTCAATCCCCTCTGTAATCGTTTCCTTTGGTGATTGTAATGTTGGATGATTGTAAATTGTCAAGGGCGACGGAGGCGCTGCGTTGGTGGGAAGACGGAGAGACGGTGGGAGGAAGAGACCTGGTTGGCGGCGGGACGTGGCTGGGGTGCACGAGGCACGGCCGTCTCGCTTTCCTCACCAATTTCAGGGAAGCCTCCTCCTTCCCTGATGCTAAATCCCGTGGAGATCTGCCTATTCGTTACTTGCAGGTCAACACCACCCCCTAATAGATAGTATTATGCTTGTTTGTCTTGTCGGAGTTTTAACGTTTTTGGTGAGAACAGAGCCGAAAGAGTCCTGCCGAGTTTGCCGAGGAGATCCAAGACGAAATTTCACTATACAATGGCTTCAACCTGGTTGTCGCTCATGTCTTGTCCAAATCCATGATTTACATTACCAACCGGCCACCCCACGGTCACAAGCTCGCGACGCAAGTCTCTCCCGGGATCCATGTCCTTTCCAACGCCAACCTCGACTCTCCTTGGCCCAAGGTTAGTAAATGTGCCATTTCTCCCTTTATTTACCTTTTGCAGACTCCCCAATTGCGTGTTTTGTCTCTGCAGTGTCTGAGGCTGAGAGAGTGTTTCCAACAGCTTCTGGCTGAGAACGGGAGCCGTGAATTCCCGGTGAAGACCATGGTCGAGGAGGTGATGACCAATACTGTCAAGGACGAAGAAACCGAGCTACCTCACGTTTTCACACCTGAGACGGAATACCATCTCAGCTCCATCTTCGTCGACATGCAGAGACCAACTGTAACCTTCCTTTTTTTGAGTACGTTTTTGTTTAACACTTTCTATGAATATTCAGTCTCACTCATGGAGATACAGGGGCGTTATGGGACCAGAAGCATCTCGGCGATCAGCATCAAGTCCCATGGTGATGGTGATGGTGATGGTGAGGTATGCTTCTACGAGAGGCATCTTGAAGAAGGTACTTCATGGAAGGAACACAATCAACAGTTTGTAATAATACAATGCATTTGATTAGCTAGCCATGCTTATTTCATAAGGTTCCCTTGCATTGAGAACCCAAAACTCTCACATATATTGTGTATGTAATCACAAAACAGAAGACAGAGCTGATCTCTTTTATTCCAACCATCAAAATACAAATACAATCACAATTACTCTTAAAACCACAACAAATCCCATATACATAATTGCACACTTGAGACTTATTGGACACAAGTAGAGAAATACCTCTCCAATCTCTCACTTCCCGGACGCTCACACTTTGACCGAGAAGATCTCACTCAGGGAACTCCAAGTTCCCGACACAGCAAGAACCACACCCAGTACCACAATCGCTGTGTCTGAACTCCATTGCATCCACCCCATCTCTTCCTTGAACACCAATAAATGAAACAATGCAGGTAACACAAACCCTAACACACAGCAAGTGCTGCTGCCAACCAATGACAAAAAATCTGTAAAGTTTGGCACAAAGAGAGCCACCAGAGTCACTGCCAAGACGAGTAGCCATCTGAGCCAGGCAGAGTACATCCCGCGCGAGAAACGCCTCTCCACTATCTCAAACACTGGATTCATCATCAAGGGGAAGGTGAAGAAGAGATTGATGCACAGTCCAAGCTGAACAACAGTGCTGACAAGTCCTGCCCCCAAGTTAGCAGTGATTATGTCCATGGTGTCCTCACCAAAAGCCAAGTAACCTAAGAAACCAAATGCGATGTATATGAGAGAGATGAATCCCATGCCGAGTGCCAAGACTTTGCCAAACTTGTCCTTGTCCTTCATCTCCGATTCAAGAGGCAAGACCATTCCAACGCCTTCGAAGGAATAGACAGCCACGCCCATACCATACAAGAAGAGGGACATACCACCAAAGGCAACGACGTCAGGCCTTTGCTTGAGTATAATCATGGAATCCTCTACAATGACCACAGCCATAGCGCCAAGATCAACAACATCGGCGAAGATGCTGAGAGGAGCCAAGTGAGTGAGGGTCTTAATCGAATTCAAACCGAGCTGAAAGGGAAAGCATCCCCAAATGTAGAGACTCTTAGAAGACACGCCCAGGAATTCAGAACCCAGCCTTGTAAACTGATGCCTGAGGCTGGTGGGCGAATCAGGATCGAATAGATTAGCTAAAGTAGTGCCGATGAAGATAAGATATCCGACACAAAAACCAGCTTGAGAGAGAATAATAAATAAGTCGACGACGATCCTCCCGAAGGAGCCGCAGACGGCGAATCCAAGGTCCCCGAAAGAGCCGATCTTGGAGAGGCCAGCATTGAAAGAGTCGAGCTTGCGGCGGGTATGGACAAGAAGCATCATGCAGTGATGGGTCAAAACAGAGACGGAGACGAGGAGGAGGACACCCATGAGCCATCCGGTACGCTTGAAGGCGTAAGGAAGACCAAGAACACCAGCGCCGACGACAGCGATGAAGACGTTGGCGAAGGTCTTGAACTGGCTGGAGAGGGGAGGTCCCTTGCCGAGGAGAGGCGTGTCCTCTCTGGCCGGTGGGGGTATTTTAAGGGTATAAGAGGAGGAGGAGGAGCTAGGTTCGTTCTCAAAACCCATCTGATGAATTTCTGAGATTTGCTTTCTTCGTGCTAGAAGGAAATGGGGATGGACAGCAAGATAATTGGATGAGTTGCGTGTAGAGTTGGTTGGTGGACTCTTTCCTTTTTTTTGGATTTGTTGTCAGAGGTCGCTATTTATGAAGTGGTCTAGATATCAGGGAAACGAACGACACCGTTTTTGTTATTAACGAACGACACCGTTTCGAACATCTTCCTTCCTTATTAGCTCCCTCCCGGCGGCTTTTGATCTGGTTTGTCGTCGATATGGCGAGGATGTCTTGTGACTTGAGATTCCTTCTCATCCCGGCCGCTTTCATGTTCATCTACATCCAGGTCAATCTATATCCGATGATCTCGCTCGCTTTTGAAATTGCAACCTAAATCTGTAATTCTCTTGTCTAGATGAGGCTTTTCCAGACGCAATCACAGTATGCAGATCGCCTCGGTTCCGCTGTCAGTTTCTACTTTGACCACTCACTGCCTTTGTGTCTTTAGACCATTCCTTTTGAAATCCCATTTTATGCTCTTTACTAGCCCATCAACTACTAGAAACTATCTGCACTATTACAAGATATCAATGCTTGTGTCATCAATACAAACCCTTTCATTTGTTTCTGCAGATCGAATCTGAGAACCATTGCACTAGTCAAATGCGTGGCCTCATAGATGAAGTTAGCATCAAACAGTCACAGATTGTTGCTCTCCAAGGTATCTGTTTGGAATCCTGTATGACCATGTTTTCTGGATCCTATCAGCAAATCATATTTGAATGGAGTTCTAGACTTATACATTGCTTTCTGAATGTCTTGTAGATATGAAGAACCGCCAGGACCAAGAACTTGTGCAGCTTAAGGATCTTATCCACACGTTTGAAAGTGCCTTGCTATCACCTCTAAAACTAATTTTCTTTCCTTCCTTTTTTTTAGTTTTGCTAGTAATGCTTATTTTCTTATCCCAGAAAAAGGAATAGCAACACTCATTGAAGCTGGACAGGTCTGGATAAAAAGATGCTCTTCTTCGTATTTGTATCTGCTGCACTGCTATCACTTGCTATATATAACCTGTTTCTTCTTTGTATTTTCCAGATGCCTGTGGCTGCTGTTGTGATTATGGCCTGCAGTCGTGCAGACTATCTTGCAAGGACTGTTAAATCAGTTTTAACGTGAGATACTAGACTGCTTTAATTCTTACAGAAATTCTTAATTGAACTGTCAATGGCTAATTCTTTTTTTTACAGATATCAAAGTCCCGTTGCTTCAAAATATCCTCTATTTATATCTCAGGTATTCTCTTAATTTCATGGAATTGCTGGGTAGTGGTCTCTTACTCAGTTTGATATTCAACGACAAATTTTCTGACAGGATGGATCTGATCAAGCCGTCAAGAGCAAGGCATCGAGCTATAATCAACTAACATATATGCAGGTAATTTTAAACTAGTGTGATTTTTCTCCTTACTGTTCAAGTAATTTGGTCATGTAGATAAGTGAGGATGAAGGCTCGTTTCCCCCTTTTTAGCACTTGGATTTTGAACCAGTGATCACTGAAAGGCCTGGCGAGCTGATTGCGTACTACAAGATTGCACGTAAGGACTGGTTTCTCCTTTCTCTGCGTCCCTCCAGCTCCATTACTGAAACACTTTTTAATACAGGTCACTACAAGTGGGCACTGGACCAGTTGTTTTACAAACACAAATTTAGCCGAGTGATTATATTAGAAGGTTACACTGTTTAACCTTTCACCTTCATTGTACCTTGCTGTTGTATTATTTAAGAGGGGATGTCTGTACCTTGTGGAGTATTGCTTAAGAGAGGTTGTCTGTCTCTTTAACAGATGATATGGAAATTGCTCCAGACTTCTTTGATTACTTTGAGGCTGCAGCTAATCTCATGGATAGGGATAAGTATGTTACCTACTGAAGCTAGACTCTTATAGTATAAGTTTCCACAGCGTATACAAATAGCTTTTTACTGTTTCTCATTCTTTTCTGGTGCAACCATGTGTTAGAACCATTATGGCAGCTTCATCATGGAATGATAATGGGCAGAAGCAGTTTGTACATGATCCCTGTAAGATTCTTCTTCCCCTTGTTTACCTCGCTTCCTCTCTTGCCTGTTCTTTCAATACCTCATTATGTCTAGCACATGCTAACTAAAATAATCTGCAGCTGCACTCTACCGATCAGATTTTTTTCCTGGCCTT